AAAATTCAAAGAACCTATTGCAATAAAACGGCAATTTCATACTTTAAACCCTAATAATAATAATAATAATAATAAATAGGGAGAGGCGGTATAACAATAATGATAATAATAATAAAGATGTATCTTTATTCAAAAACACCTTATAATTTATTTGTAAGTCCATTGACTTCCAAATAAATTATAATTATGTATATAAATATGTAAATATGTAAATATGTAAATGTCCATTGACATTAAGGCATTCCTTATAAGGATAAAATAATATATAGCACAGAGAAGAACTTTACAGGTTCGAAATGTAAACAAAATAAAATAAAACAAACAGGTAGAAAAGGCGTAACCAATCTAAGGACTCTGGCTCGTAAACTAGACAAATGTATGTGCCTGTATTTGAAGTTGAAAATTATAAAAATGAAACTGAGTGAACGTGGTTATACTCTTTTAGTGATAGTTATGAGGTAATACACAAAAAATAATAGGCATAAGACGTGTTGATTCTATCTTTTTATCATTTTTCAACAAAAACACCACATCCCTGGTTGTAACAGGTCGCGCGTGAAATGCACAGATCTTACGTCGAACATTCGGCGGCCGAATATTCTGTATTCGGCCATATCACTATTCGTGGCATCTCTAGTATTTATTGTTCTGTGTTACGCAATATCGTCGCTTAATGCAGCAGCTGCCGTATGTTGTTGACATAAAATTGAATAAGGTATACGAGTCGCCGATGGAGAAGCTTTTGAAAGGTAAGTAAGGGTTTGCCATTCAAAAGTTTCTCATTTGGCGACTCGCCATGATAATAAGCGGACACTATGAAAAATCTCTTCCATCCTACTGGATTCGAACCAGCGTCTTCCGCATGCTAGGCTGACGCTCTCCCAACTGAGCTAAGGAACGAACCAGCAGATGTTACGAATTTTTGTATGTGCTTATTACAGATTTTTGTTTTTTTAACTACTTTTTGCCGTAACGTATATGTCGCACTGCATGTACAATAGTGTTGTAATTAAAAATATGTGAAATTCAAGATTTTACCATTGCTAAACGTATAATTGGAGTATCCACACTTGAATAAAAATGTCTTTAGAATATTTAAAGCAACATGTCAAAAATATCTAGTTAGGTCAACATTAGACAAACGTTATTTGAGCTAGTCCTAGCCAAAACAGTCCTTACCTACCTAAATATATGAAATATTTTTTTTTTGCTTTTATTTTTAAGTATATTTGGCAAGTTTAGATGTCTGTAATAAACCTTAACCTATGCATAGGGCGCACTATAAGTTTCCGGAACTGGCCACTTACATCAACAATATTTAAAAAGTAATTACATCATTTGAAAATGGAACTCTTTGGCTGTAGAATACAGTTTGTTTCATCTGACTGTCACTTGTTTTTACATTGTGGCGTCATTTTAGAAATTGGTTGTCTACATCATCATGGATATAACTCGTGAAAATTTTTGTAGTACGATTTTCTACGACTTTAAGTGTAATTTAACAGCTCAGCGGAGCTTCGCTCGGCTTCAAACTGCTTTTGGCGATGAAGCACCATGCAAGACGACTATTTATAGCTGGTTTGCAGAATTCAAACGCGGTCGTGTGAATCTCAGTGACGAATTTCGTGATGGTCGCTCGTTCACTGCTGTGAACAACAAAAACATCGATGCTGTGCGTCGTACGATCAAAACAGACAGGCATGTGACATACCATGAGATTTGGGCATCTTTAGGCATAGGCATGAGACAAATACAATCAATACTACACAAAATTTGGGTGTGAAAAAGCTGTGCTCTGTGCCGAAACATGAATTTATAGTTACGATCTCAAAATAAAGCAGCAATCGAGCGTATTTCGAGATGAGCCGAAACCAACCAAAGTGGCACGCGTGCAAAGTGCCTCTAAGCGGATGATTGCTTCTTTTTTTAATAAAACTGGGCACGTGGCTACTCTTGCTTTGGACAATCGTTGTACCGTGAACAGTGATTGGTACACGACCATTTGTTAGTCGGAAGTTATTGTAAAACTCCGTAAAAATAACTGTAAACACCGTATTATCTTGCACCACGATAATGCCAATTCTCACACGGCCAGACAGACAAATGAATTTTTGAAGGTGAACAACGTTGACATTATGAGCCATCCCGCGTACAGTTCCGACCTGGCACCTTGTGACTTTTATTTATTTCCAAAAATTAAGAACCAGTTACGCGGTCAACGATTTTCATCACCTGAAGAGGCTGTCGAAGAGTATGAAAAATATGTTTCAGAGATTGTCACGGAGGAGTGGCATAAATGTTTTCAAAATTGGTTCATTCGTATGAAAAAGTGCATTAACGCTAACGGAGAATATTTTGAGAAACAATAATAAATTCATTTCTGACCATTTATAGTATTTTTTCTTATTCATTCCGGAAACTTTTACTGCGCCTCACGTACATGAGATTTAATGATCGTTCACAGGAAGTGACTAATTCGTGTTTCATTCTGATAAAATACACTTTTTGAATTAATACGCTATTGTATTTGTTAATAGACTGTGCGATGTTAGAAATCTATGAAACTTCTTCCTCTCTCTATAGTAAATTAGATCTTTGAGAAGTTACGTTTAAGGAATTATACTATTAACACGGAGGCAGTTAAATAGACTATATATTATTGTATTCTATTCCTTATTAAACTTTACTGCTGCCAGCGACTGACTACAAATGTGCTTTTAGTAATTTTAATATGAAGTAATAAATATTTTAAAAATTGTTTTTCAGAAACAACATTCTAAAGATACCATCCGTCCACAAGGAAGACCGCGGCACTTACTACTGCGTAGCCCAAAACGGAGTAGGAAAAGGTGTAAGGCGTACTTTTTACATGGAAGTCCAGTTTGCTCCTGTCGTCACTATACCTCGACCTCGTCTTCAACAGGTATGTACACTGTTAGAGAACAAAGAGAAAGGACCAGAGAGAAAGAAAGACAATTTATTCAATATCATTCATTTAAATGAATGAATGAATGAATGAATGAATGAATGAATGAATATACTTTATTGCACAGATAAACACACGAACATAAACACATGTACAGATAAACATACGCACAACAGGCGGCCTTATTGCTAAGTAGCAATTTCTTTTTTTAAATTATACTTACAAAATAAAACTATAGATCTAAAATGAAAGAAACTGAATGAGCACCACTTAGCATATGCCTGGTATTATGTGGAGCCCACATAATAATAAAAAAGAAAGAAATGCCAAGCTTTAGATACCGCACCGCGCCCCGCATACTGACGGTCACATTGACGGAACGGCAACAAGGTTGTCAGCGAGCCGTTCGATATGGACGATTTTGATATTCAAATTTCGATTTTCAATAAAATGCGATTTCGTAACAGAATATTTATACATTATTATTTATTTAAAAGAAAATATTATTGTATAGGTAATTCATGGTAGTGTTATTCACCTATTATTGTTAAGTCTTGTGTTTAAGCTACTTATTTGACGTTATTTCACTTAGCTGGTGTAATTTACGGTTGTTTTAATATTTAATTAATAAAATCATTAATGTACATATTGAATTGTATTATTTATATACATATACTTACAATACATTAATTTGCTCATGTTTACGAGCAAGTGTGTTGAAAAATACTATTATGTACCTCTTTCGTACTATTAACTGACTTCAAAAATAGGAGGAGGTTCTCTATTCGATTGTATTTCTTTTGTATATATGTTATACGATTTGACCGGATATTTGTGAACCAATTTTAATGATTCTTTTTTTGTTGAAAAGAGGGTACCTCAGTATTGGTTGGTCCCATGTAATTTTTTGAGAAAATGTTGCACCTCTAAGGCCATTAACACATTGACCACGCCCCGCGACGGAGCGCGAAGCAGCCTTTTTTAACGTTGTACTGAAGTACCTCAGTTTGTATGGAAAACACGCGCCGGCGAACACACTGACAAATGGGGCCCGGCGAACGATTTTTAATCAATTTGTGTCTATTCTAGTAATTGTCGTTCGGATTTTTCCCCAACAAATAGTCAAAGGATTCAGTTGACATACAACAATACAACATACAATACAATATAACATACAACAATCTTCTTGTAATGAAGTTGAATGTTATCTTTGATGTCTTTTTAGTTAAGTAAACAAAAACCAAATTGACTAAAGTGTTTGTAACGTATGGTCTTCTGTGGTTCCATTCTACCAAGGGTACGAATTTATGTTATTTAACATTATGGTCAACTTTTCAGGCCCTTCAATACGACATGGATCTGGAATGCCACGTGGAAGGTTACCCTCCTCCCACCATCACTTGGTTCAAGGACGAAGTCCAACTGATGAACAATCAGCATTATAGGTGAGTATGATAATTTTCAACATTGCTGTGTTTAATCTAAGATCGATTAATAAGAAAACCAGGCCTTTGTACGGACGCGATCGGAATGTCGCAAGAAGCCGATTCGTTGCCGACCTGTGGCAAGCTGCGTTGGTACGAACCAATGCGAAATGCCCAACGTCTTTTTCGCTCTTAGGGCACTTTCCCATTATGTTGTGACGACTGATAGTCGTGCATATGTGATATTTAAATGCACTTGTTCACATATAGTACGTACAACACGATTAACTGTCGTTCACTACTTTTTTAACATTACGACGATAGACTGTCGTGACAATGGGGAGAGCTGGAACGAGAGTCGTTGGACGATAATTAAAACGTCATGATAAAAATGCAACCACTGGAAACCGCAGCTTCAAAAGATTCTGTCGTGGAAACGATAGGCGGCTGCCGTGAATCAATAAATTGTCGACACGATCTAGTCAGAACAGCTAGACACGACAGTCGTTCAACGATAAAATAAATGTCCACGACCGATAGTCGTGATATGAGAACAGGTTAGACGCGACGAAACTATTTTTCGGATCTTCGGAGATTCGGAGCGTTTCGTTCTGTGTACCGTCTAGGCTCTCGGGTTTCTCTCAGAGAAAAGTTTAGGGAGACTGGTGACATCACAGTACATTTACTCAAATATTTTATATGCCCGTAAAGAAAGAAGATATCCATAATATTAACCTTGGAGCTAAGTCCAAACTCATGGTACCATGATTTCGTTTAAACAAAGTAAACGAGTCTTTTATAAACTGGGGAACTGTATACGTTTTTACAATAAGATTTCCGGAGCATATATTGAGATTATCATTTCCTAAGTTTAAAAACTACATTAAAAATATTTTGATTGAAAAGTCATATTACAAACTTGACTACGTATTATATAAAGATGTATGGAAAGACGACATGGCTCCAGAATCCACACAAATTAAGTAAAAACGTTTAGAAGTGTGTCCTACCCATGGCTGTGACGGGTGGGACACACTTTCAAATCTTAATATTTACATTCCTATTTACGTGCAAAAAAAAAAAAAAAAAAAATTTTGATTCAAAGTGTATTCCATAGCATTTAAGTTTATTTGAAAAGAGCAATCCCTAGAGTTTCTTGCTCGTTCTTCGCAGGGAAGTGAGCGTAATGAACGAGCAGTAGCTTAATGTAATGTAAATGTGACGTTTTCAAGTGTAAATTTATTTTACCTATGGAATAAATGATCTTTGACTTTGATCTAAATCGCAGATATTAGATTTTTGAAACAAACTAGCGTTTTGGGACCTTTACGCGTCTATGGTCACGGGTGGCTGAGATGATAAAGTCACAGATGGTAAAGACAATTAAGTTCGATAAGCCCCAGGTCTTGCAAAAGAGTTATCTACTCAGTATGCCGCGAGAGGCCATTGAAATAAAGAAATACATCCTAATTTCCATAGAAAAGGTGGTTTCTTCGTACCCACCGGTTTGGGATCCAGTATTTCCTCTAATAAAATACTTAAGCAGACTTATGACTGCAATACTGATTAATGTTTTTAATTCATTGTAATTACCATTAATAATAAAATGTGATTAATTAATAATTTATATTGTTAAAATAAAATAATTTGCAAAACATATGTTGCGTAAATTGGAATGTTCTTTGGAAAAATTTTAAAATAAGGTAATTAATTAATAACTTTTGTAACAATTCATTTCCTATGTGTAACAATCGCGAAAACCTAAGAAATCGATATTGTAATAATAGTGAAAAATAGAGTGGTTTCGTCTCGTACGCGATTTAGATCCGAAAGAACATTCTAGTCGTCCAATGAATTTATCGTTGGACGCTTTTTCTTTTCAGCTTTTTCTGATCAGCTAATAATAATAATTCTGCGTTAATAAGTGTGTTGGCTCCTTATGTTCCTCGAAAAAAAAAACTATATTATTGGTCTCAGGATCTCCAAATTCAGGACATCAGACGAGTTCACGGAAACTACTTTGCGCGTAGTCACAATTGATCAGCGACACTACGGCACTTTCACTTGCAAGGCGCAGAACAAACTGGGCACTGCCGCGGGCCAGGTTGAACTATCCGGTATGTTATTTTTCTCTATAACCGGGAAAAGAGGTGTTCAAAACCAAAAATAAATATCTGCAACAAAGACAGAAAAAATCGCAAGTACTACTGGTACGTTCCGTAGCTGAGTTGGAAGAGTCAAATCCAAAAAGGAAATTTTCCTAATATTTGATCTTTGTATAAATAATTATAACAAACTAGTGGAGTAATTTCACAGAAAATAATTGAATATCAATTCAATAAAAATTTAATTAATACAGTGAATAGCGACATCTCTCGCCAGGACTGGTAGCTGTAAAGGTACTAACTGGGTGATAAATCTGTAATAGATTTCTCATAGATGGCGCTACGACTAAAAAGTCGTTGAAAGACCAAGTACAAAGACACGACGCAAGCACATAGAAAAAAATTCGTGAGGTCCGTTGGTTCGTTCCGTGGCTTAGTTGGTATAGCGTCTGGCACGGTATGCAAGAAGACGTCGGTTCGAATCCGACCGGATCGAAGGAATTTTTCTGAGTGTTCGATCTTTGTATTAATAATTATAACAAACTAGTGGAATAATTTCACAAAAAATAATTGAATATCAATTCAATAAAAATTTAATTAATACAGTGAATAGCGACATCTCTCGCCAGGACTGGTAGCTGTAAAGGTACTAACTGGGTGATAAATCTGTAATAATTATACAAAGGTAAAATACTACAGCAGTAGAGCACCTTGTGAAAGAGTTTGTCTAGGAAGTACACCTTACCTATTTCTGCCGCCAAGCAGTAATGTGAGCATTACTGCGTTCCGGTTTTGAAGAGTAAGGGTGCTGGTGAAATTACAGGCACACGGGTCTTGTCAACTTATGTCTCAGACACTGCAACTGCTCTGGACGGTCGTGTATCTTACAATCAGGCGCACGACTTGTTCATGCCGTCACTTGATATTGTCAAAAAATATAACAAACTAATGGAACTAATTTCACAAAAAATAATTGAATAGCATGATAGTAAAACATAGTGATATTTAATAGACTTAATAAAACGTTGATAGCATTTGTTATTAAACAGCTGGTTTTATACTTTATATAATATCGTCGCATTGACTTATAAATAAATGGACGACGGGTCTAATACAAAAACCACGAAAAAGATGTCCCAAGTCAACATTTTTAAACGTAGTGACATGTAAAGGAATATGAAAAAGCTAAAACGTTGAATTTAAATTGTAATGTAATCGCAGTACTGTCTAATTTTGCTTGCTTCGCTGTCAGTCGAACAAACGAAGACTAAAGCGTGAATGACGCTCTGTATACGATTTTAACGCCCTATAAGTTCGGACACTTTTTAGCGCGGACCCGACGTCCATATAATTGTAAGTCAATGTATCGTCGCCTTACTTTCTAGAAACTCGTATCTTAAAGCACAAAGTTACTGCAATGCAAAAAATGGATTGTATATACCAATTTCCTTCATATTCACACACTGGTTTTTACCTATTCTTAAACTAAATTCATTCAAATTAACACCATTGATGAGAAATTTAAAGTAAATGTAGCGAGATGGGGGGACAACATTGTCAAAGTTGCAGGCAGTAGATGGGTGAGATTAGCACAGGACCTTGGTGAATAGATGAAACCGTGCTGTGGATGTAAATAAGAAATTTAAAATAAATAGAAAGTTTTGCCATCTCCTCAATAACACTCTTTATATGATACGAGTTTGAGAAAGTAAGGCATCGACATGTTATCGCCTAATGAAAAGTATGTTTTTTTTATTTCTTATCTGTAGAAGCCATAGAACCGGTATGCCCCCCGGCTTGCGGTCATCATTATCTACCGGCCGTGTTGCCACTTGGGGAGCTATTTATGTCGCTTATGTCGCTAAAAGGTGAGTGTTTTTTTAGTGAGCATTTTTCTAATTCATTAGGGGCATTACCATGAATTCTTATTACGATTCAGTTTAGAAAAAAAAATTTGTCGTTGTGAGACAGCGCTTCATGAAGTGTATATCACCATCCCGCTTTTCTGTCGTTACTAACCTATACTGAATTGTAAGAAGAGTTCATGGTAAGGCCTCTGAGCTAACATTTCAAATGTCGACATCTGTCAAATTTTCGAATTTTCAAAAAATGTTCTATTTCTGGCCCTGTGCTCTCGGTCTCCGTATAAGTAGAATAGAATAGAAAAAGCTTTATTGCACACAAAATAAAACATAGTTAAAGGTACAATCGGCGGCCTTAGCGCTAGACAGCGATCTCTGCCAGGAAACCTTACAAATTATTACGGAGTTTTAGGTGAAGGGCAGTTAATCGTGCACAAAGCAGGTAAATGAATCGAATACATTCTTAAACAAATTTCACCAAAATACACATTGCTAAATACCAAATATATAACTATATACACATTAAAATATATAGAATATTCTTGTGCATACATATTATATATACACATAAATAAAAAGTGGCATGATGAGAATGAAGCTTCATACTAGACATTACCTAATAATTTGGTCGAAAATTACATATTAGAACGAGAGTAGACCCCCTGGACCCCTAATCAGAACTCTTCGATACTTTAATCGAATCGTTCGGTTGGATATCGTTTTTGAATAAGGGCGCCTTCCGACCGAAACAATTACTGTCAAATAAGTAATATTCGACAAAATTAAAAGACAAGTATCCAGTATGAAACTTCATTCGCATCACGCGTCTTTTCATTTGGTCAAGTATTGCTTATTTGGCAGTAATTGTTTCGGACCGATGTCGGATGGAGATCGAGAGTAGACCGCCGGATTCGGATACGGTATCGTTATTCAACAGCGTTTACGAAGTTAGTCGGTGAAATAGATTATAAGAAAAATGAAAATCCTTTTATAAACATTTTTAAGACTTTAAAGGTCTAAAATATAAAATTGATCAAAATCCAGACTTTGTTTAAAATTATAAGAAATTTCCATATTACATTATTGCTTTGTATACAATAGGGACGTTCGGTAACTTTCATTCGATAACTGTGCTCTGAATAACGTTTGTAGCTTTTGCCGGTCGAGAAGTTCGAGTAATCGTAGTGGAGTGACGTCATTTCGGTTCGGTTTCGAATACGACAGTTTGACGTTTGATTCGGGTGTTGTGAATATAAATGAAAAGACATCGGACGATATGAAATCGAACCGGTCGACAACTGAGTTATCGTAAGGTTCTGAATAGACCCCTGTAATATGGAAATCTTTTATTATTTTATATAAAATCTAGATTTGTTCAATTTTATTAATTTATTATATTTTATTAACTCCGCAAACGTTGTTGGATAACGATATCGTATCCGAATTGGAATCGAACGTATTAACTCGATTGATCTGAATAGCTCGGAAAGCGCCCTTCGATTCGAGAACGATATTCAATTTGAATTGTAGCGAAACGCAGCCGTCGCTACAAATCTCTTTCGTATATATTTTACAGTCTGTTTAAGTTTTAGTTTTATACTTAAATTCTAAATTTAAACGTGTTTGTTTTTGGCGCCTTTTCCTAGACTAGTGTTTGCTGTTTTGCTTTGATAGCAACATACGTGTTATCTAGTAAATTATTAATAAACTGTAAGTACATTTGCTTGGCCTTGCTCACTCGTTGTTAGCACTCACCCTTCAACCCATTGATACAGTTCGCTACATGAAAAGATTCTGAGTCGGGGTCCTGGGTTACTGATTAATTGAACAGCACATATGTACAAAAGAGTAGTTATACCCCTGGAACTTGGCTTTTGTGGCTGTTACCGTGGTGTTTACATAGCTGTCTATTTATATAGATATAATAATGATATATGTAGAATAGAATAGATTAGAATCATTTATATTATCAATTTCATAATACTACAATTCAAAATATAATGTCAAGGGCCAACATCGTCATTAATGTAAACAATAATTATTTTATAATTATTCATAATTATAACAAACTAGTGGAATAATTTCACAAAAAATATTGAATTTCAATTCAATAAAAAATTAAAATAATTTTATTGTTAATATAAAATAAAATAATGAAAAGAAAAATATGAATTACAAAAATACAAATAAAAATAAAATATTTTCAAAATACGAACGTGCAAAATTAAAATATAATTACAATTTCTTTAAAAGAAATTCCTCTACACTGTAGAATTCATTATCCAATAAAAGGTCTTTCAGTCGGAAACAAAGCACTTGGTCACTTGTAACACTTTTTAGACTTGTGGGTAGGTGATCGTAAAATCGGGACCCGATTACTCGCGGTTTTCTCGTTCCGAGTTCGATTCGGTGAGCTGCGGGTTTCAGCATTCCTATGTTACGTTCCTATGTTCCTATGTTGTATGATATTTTTTGGCATTAAATACCTAACGAGAAACACGAAAAATTTTAAGTCTAAATTTGTAGTCTTCCGTGGTCTTTGACAATGCTCGGGCATTCGCGAGATTTCCACAGCTGCCGTCGGTGAAGATTTTTTCTTTCTTTTCGCTCAAATCACAGCGCGTGACTTGAGCGAGAGCGACATAAAGCGCGATATGTTTATGCGATATATCTCGCGCTTCATGTCGTGCTAGCCCTACTGAACTTATATATTTTGTTTCATGTAATTCGTATATGTTCATACCAAAAGCAAGCAATGTAAGAAAACACCAGAATGTCTACATTTTGGTTTCAGATTCGCCAATCCCCGATGTTAACAACACTGGCCTTCATCAAGACCCTGAGATAAACGGCTCCAACAAAGCACCAGAAATTCAAGAAAGTTGAAACTGCTTCTGGCAGCTAATCTCTTTATTTTAAAAAGATCAAAAAAGTGAACAAACCATACAAATTTACTTGGGACTCTAAAAAAAAATACGTAATACACTTCTATACCACCTCAAATGGCTTTTGTTGATTCCGCATAACATTGGAAGTGTTCAACCAATCACTTTGGAAAGAGTTTAAAGTAAAATTGAGAATATACTTGGTGTATATCATTGACTTACAAATAATGGACGACGGGTCTAATACAAAAACCACGAAAAAAATGTCCCAAGTCAACCTATTTAAACGTAGTGACATGTAAAGGAATATGAAAAAGCTAAAACGTTGAATTTAAATTGTAATGTCATCGCAGTACTGTCGAATTTTGCTTGCTTCGCTGTCAGTCGAACAAACGAAGACTAAAGCGTGAATGACGCTCTGTATACGATTTTAACGCCCTATAAGTTCGGACACTTTTTAGCGCGGACCCGACGTCCATATAATTGTAAGTCAATGGTGTATATACTCAATTTTGCTTTAAACAACACAAGGTAAAACACGATTCCTGTAAATTTTCACGATAGAAAAATAGCACAAACTTACTTTACAACCTCTTCACTTGTTGCAGCATCAGATCAAAATTACCATATCGGGCCATTACCGTCCAATTTGTGTAAGCGACAAAAAACAAATTTTATATCAGATTTTTTTGAAATATGTCTACATATATATAAATGTGATAAAATTAAATTTTAACCTTATAATAATGAGTATTTGTGACCGATTGTGTAACTGCAAATTAAAAAAAAATGGATGTTATGCCTTCTTTGGCGCTTACAATATTTTTGGTCTCCATCTAAATATGTTTGAGGTTTTCAGGCTCCATGATTTTTTTCAGGTATTCAAGATAACACTTGCGACTAAAAATAGTAAAGGACGAAATTGTGATGTCTTATAACAAGTGGAATCGCTCAAGTTATGATTTTTCGTCTGTCTGTTACATTAATAATACTGCCGTCCACAAACTAAAACGCGAGTAAGTGACAAATGGTTAAATAACCGTTTTAAATAGCAAGAAATATACCACAAAACTCTGTTTTATAAACAGCTAAAATTAATTAACGTGTTCGGCTTATCGGAACTTTTCCTAATGATGCATAGCTGAAATATCATTAAACAATTTCGATATTCTAAAACTGGGTTATGGTTTTTTATGATATTCAAAAAAAATATTTTGTCACTTAACCGCGTAGAATATAAAAAAATAAACATTTGAGCTAACGATAAACTTAGCTTTTGCTGATTTCTATTTGATGTAATTTTGGCGGGACTACAAAAAATATATTGGAATCGAACCCGGGACTCTGCGTGTGCTTGAGATAATATGAACTCTTTACATAATTAATAGAAAAATGTGATTTTAGACAACTTTTCGAAAAATATACTTATAAAAAACGAACAAGCGGCAGTTTTATTCTAGAAAATTACTTAAAAATAAATATCATCATCTATTTAACAACATGTATTTAATTTCATTCAACAATCCAATAGATTGCGGGATATGATAGGTAAGCGAGTAGAATCAAAACAATAATTAAAAACACCAAATATATGTTATTTGTTCACAAAAACCACCAATATCATACTTAGACGAATAAGTAATAACTTAATAATACATTAATAACAATTAATTTCTACATTCTGGTAAGTAATAGGGGCTTCGCATTAATGCGCAACGTAAGACCCCTTTCACACGGCATTGAATGGCGGATATTCAGATACGAATATAAGGCTGATACGAATAGAAAACACCCATGCCATAATAGCCTATTTAATCTGACTAATAACATCAGATGTTCACTACTAGGAAAAAGGAATCTAAGCACGCGCTCAGAGAGGTGAAATTAACGTTACCCGCCGCGTGCAGTTGTGCGGAACCGAATGCTGTGGTTGAACAAGACATGTCTGTACTGAGGGTGAGAGGGTCTGTGACAACCTTGTACACTGTCTGATCTGGGGTCGGAACCTGAACTTGTAAGGTTCCTGTGAGTTCATAGTTTATAGTGCCCTTCTCGTATACCCTAAGGGTGGTCGGTACTAAGGGTAGGGAGGGAGGGTCACTACAATCAAAACTAATGTAGATATGGGGCTGTCCCGCTCATTCAAGTAGAGGATCTTGGACAAGATCCACCACACTGACACAACGCGGGTAGGTAAGGGACTTTACATGCAAGGGTTGTGTATAGGTACAAATGCGTACGATGTGAATGGGTCGTATGGGGTCTTACAGTACGTTGGAATTCATCATAATAGGTTGAAGTACAAAAACACCTTAGATGCATATTTTTTTCTATTAATTACGTGACACCTGTAAATTTGACTAGAATAACTTATAATTTAGACCTTTCACCCATATTATCCAACCAGAATTTGATTCTTTCCCAATGGGGGTGCTGCGTGAGAGTCAATTCTTGATCTATGTTTAGGCAGAGATGGGTGTCTCGGTTGTAAGGCAGCCATTTTGTACGCTGGTTCGACCATGTTGGTATTCTGAAATAATAAAGACATTTTCACATTTGTGTCTATATTAAAAAGTTAATGCGGGAAATTCACATGTTACCGAACAATATTACCTATGTAAATTGACTTAATATTTGTAGACAATTACCAGAATGCAATTAAATGACATTTTTTAGGGTAATTCAGTACAAAGTAGGTAATCAAAATGTGACCTAGTGTGACAGAGTGAAGGACGTAGTGTGTGACATTGTGGTGGTTTGTTAAGGTAATTCAAAGTAGTTAATAGTTCTACGAAATGTGACCTAGTGTGACAGAGTGAAGGTCGATGTAGTGTGACATCGTGGTCAGCATGACGTCACATTTCTTGTTTTCAAGTTCGGCTCAATTTTGTGGAAGACTATTTTATTTCAAGCGTTCTGACAATTTTCAATTTAAAGTATGAAATTATTCTCACCCATTTTTGGCAAAACTACACCAAGCTTCGCTTAGAAATTTAATAATGTTCTCATCGTTTGCGTCACGTTTCTCGTGTTTGCTTTTCCTATAAAATTGATATTGAACTATGTCTCCGTGAGTCGCTCCCTTTATGCCGAGATTCTTCATTATTCTCGTACTCATATTGCCAGAATAACGAAAATTATACATATACACATTTTCATAGTTGTATAGTTCGCAAATTTGTATCGCATCTCGAATGAAGTAAGCGTCTGATAGGAAGTTAACGTATTCTTCTTTTTTGTTGTCATTTATTGGTTCGTTTTTAAAGTAAAACTCATGCAATGCTCTACCAAGTTTCTTTGATTTGGGACTGTCATGTGGCAAGGACAGAAATCTCGGAATAAATCTTTGTGTGTCCTCAACATATGATATATTTCCATCGCTATCTTTTTGAGCAAACAAAGCGCCGTCGTGAGAGGTTACACCTGTCAAAAATGGTAGCTTTTTATGATTGTTTTTCAGTATAGTAACTAGAGGGAATTCTTCGATACACGGCTCGACGTGGTCGAATTTTTTTTCGACGACGGGTAAGAAATAACAATTTATAATATACGGTGGTCTTGCCATTTCAATTGTCATAACAGCTGATACTAAATTTTCAACTGGCTCATTTAGGAGAAATTCATATAATTCATTAATGTCCTTTAGGTCTTTGCCAAGAAGATTAGCTACTTGTTTAGCCTTTGCTATAGGATCTTCTTCGATAAACAACAAATCAGAAATACAAACTCCAGATTGTGTGATTATTTTGTGAACAAGACCGTCTGTCATTTTCGTAACAGTATACGATGCCGTTACACCACCTCCCGCACTGTCCCCAAACGCTGTTACGTTGTTCTCATCACCGTTAAAGTATTTTATGTTATTTTTAACCCATTTTAAAGCCATTATTGTATCTTTAAATGCAGCATTTCCTGGTACATTTTCGGTATGAAGGCATAAGAATCCAAGTATGTGAAGTCTATAGTTTATGGTTACCAAAACAACATCCTTATCTATGTAGTAGTCAGGTCTGTAATAGTCTCCATGACCAAGAAGATAACTGCCGCCATGGACAAAGAATATCACTGGAAGTTTTTCTAATTCTTCTTGTGGCAAACTCGGCGTGTACACGTTTAGGTATAGACAATCTTCGGATCCTTCCACCCCCTTTCCGGATAATGGATTCATTTGACTGCATTTTGGGCCTGGTTTTGTTGCATCCAGTATACCAGACCAGCTGTCTGGTTTTTGCGGGTCCTGGAAAAAGAATATGTACAAAGGTTTTATTAGTTATTTATTATAGACTAATTTTAAAATATACAGATAAGGTACAATAAAAGCTTAAATACTAGAAACTAAAACTAGGATTAGATTATGTGAATATAATTGGGTCCCGGTGGCAAGGTGCCCAAGATGCTGGCAGCGTCCTAATGCGTTGGGCAAGGTAGCCCTTGGGTTTCCCGGACAGTGTATTATTTTTTTGGATAAAATTGAGTCATCGAGTATGTAACTAGAAATAGAGACAAAATGGAGACAGAATAGAGACAAAAATCTATCCTTGGCAGCCCATCAGGCAAATGGCCTTATATCACTTTTAAATATCAGCTCTCTTTTGCGCTGAAATCACAAATCAGAAAACTGAAATAGTACAGCGCCAACAAGCGACCTGTGCGTACGTCTCCGTATATTCCAAAAATACCTCTTTGGTTTAAACTTTTTATATTTTTATTTTAACACTTTTTTATGGTTAAAATAAGTGCGCATTTGACCTTCATCGCACCCGATAGAGCATTCACACCTATGTAATGCCTACATGTTCATCTTGAAAAGGTCCAAGATCTTTGTAGTAATAATCGTCGTCGACATAGCTGGTATAATAAACAAGCTGAAGTGGCAGTGGGCTGGCCGAAGAACCGATAACCGATGGGGGATGCGAGTTCTGGAGTGGAGACCACGGCTCGGCAAACATAGTGTAGGATCTGGCCCGAAGGACTCACGATTTGCTAAGGGTTGCTGGCAGCAGATGGATGTAACGAGTTGAGGAGGCGAAATGGCGCGCATTGGGAGAGGCCTATGTCTAGCAGTGGACTACGATAGACTGCTGATTAATGAATATGGACGACAACACGCTTAAACGCGCGTCGTCGGCGCGTCACACCCCGGACACTCCATTCAACAGTCGAAAATTATTTACCTACTACAAAAAAAAATTCTAACGCGAATCTATTATCTATGATTCTATTAATAGAATCCTAATTATTATACATGTCTATTAGGTATTTATATCGGTATATTGTTATATTTTTCATTAATTCACTAACTAGAGTAATATTGACGATTTATTTCAAAAATATATTAAAAACACTTAAAATGTTATTTCGGACATGTACTTTTAAGTAAGGTAACCAAGGTATTTGAAATAGCTTGTCCAAGTTTAGTTAATAATTAGATATATTCACTACCTACGTAATATTTATCGGCAATATGAATAGAAGATTCGCGAAGTTATGGCGTCTCATTATATTGATTTAATAAATTTGTATTTTTTATTCATGTATATTACTCTGCAGTAAATAAATGAAGAAAACAATAACATAATGAGTTTCATCTTTTGGAAAATGATGATAAACAGCCGTATACAATTCACGACCATTATAAATAGTAACGTACAATGATGTTTTATATTAACGTACAAGTTTCGTAATGAATAAATGAAAACTATATTCAAAACATCAAAGCCGTCTTCGCCCGAAAACGGCTCGCCGGCAGCGTTGTTGTCCTTCAGTCCATGTGACCGGCAATATGCGGGGCATGGTGCGGTATCTAAAACTAGGGAGAGGCGGAGAGTGTCCGTTCTCTTATTCTTTATTCTCTGGGCGCGTATAAAATACGCCGTGTGCATAGACTCTTAGGGTCGTATTCTAGAATTGTACCTACTCAATGCTCAAGTCAGGACTTGAGTATGAATCAAAGCACTAGAAATCATACTCAAGTCCTTGCCATTAGGGTTGTGTTTCCAGTGCTTGAAATCATACTCAAGTCTGCTCAAATCCTGACTTGAGCATTGAATAGAGTTCTGGAATACGACCCTTAGTGCCGCGATTTTAAAAAGGAGCTGGTGGAATGATTTCATGCAATTCCGTATTTAATTATATATTTTCAAAACATCTTTGCGGCTTAAAGATCTGAGTGTCATTGCAAATTCTATGGTCAGGAGGCGTATGACTTGTGATTTCTGTCCCTTGGTGCCATAAAAGGAAACTTATTCACATCTGCTCCCATGCGATTTCTATTTTACTTACCCGAAACCTTAGCTTCCCAACTGGAGGTTTAGCGTAAGGTATCCCTTCAAAACTGTAATATTTCTTTCCATAACACGAAATAGACTCCTTCCCTTGCAACACGCCTTGTTCCACTTTAATTTTACACGAC